ACGCAAGTCTAAAATCTCCTCTTTGAAACTGGAATCAAGCTTTCTGATGCCGACACCTTCCGCAGCAATATTTCCACTGGTTCTTGTGGAATTGCGGAAAAAAGCCGAGCGCAACACAAGGAAGATGGCGTGGCACTCGGCTCTCCCTGTATGTAAAAAAATGCCCAACTTTCATTTGAATTTGCTTGTGTTGCTCAAATCAGCGTTAAAACCACATTCTAGAAACAGTGGGAAGAGAGACAGAGATCTAGCAACACGTCCCTCTTGGAATTTTACTTACAAGTAACACGAATCCACCTGTATTTGCCTGTTCCCCTTGTCCAGCGAGAGTTGTCAGTACCTTAAAACCTGTAAATAAGCCTGTCTGCAGCTTACAAGCACAACAACAGCCAGTCCCTGAGAACAGGGAAAGTCTCCGCTTCCTGAAGTTACCTCCACTTAAAATAACTTCCACATCCGCGAAAACAGGTCTGAACAATCACAGAATCACCGATCAAAAAAATACAAGTAAAAAGCACAATTTATACTGCATGTTACAGCTACTAGACTTCAGAAGAGGTCCACATCCTCCTGTGTCAATATCCGCCCGTATTTTTTTCCTAAACTTGTACAGGCCAACTCTTTGAACTTTATTTTGCAAGAGAAAAGTCCAGATAATGCACAGATATCCAAAATGCTTATGTCAACAGGTACAGGATCTTCCTAGTGTGACAGCTCTGTATTTTGCAGAATTGTCCATCTAGTTTGCCCTGCTTTAGCACTGACACCCGCAGAAGGGTCTTTAGGTGGCGATTTTTGCTAAATAACCATATGATTGCCCCCAGCTGGCCACCGCTCCCAACAAGTCAGGCATTACAGCACAGATCCAGTACCTCCCAGGGCTGCCACGCTTAGCTGGGCCTCTGAGATAAAACAAAAAGTTCCTGGACTTCTCAGGCTGACACTCATTTCATAAATTCGTTTCCCAAGGCAGTAATATTCTGTGTGGGTAGGATGGTGAAATTATTCAGAAGTTACGTACGTGACAAGTCTCTACATGAAGCATATATGAACGTTTCCAGCAAACAAACGCACCCAGACTGCCACCACGGTTTGTCAGAGAGCAGTCAGCAATATACTCTGAGCTTGTCTCTTGCCCATGTAGAAACGCAAAATATTTTACGCTAAAAGCCAGTTTCAAAGCCTGGATTAGGGAAAACACAACCACTGACAGCCTTCAGGTCCGAGCCTACTACTCCGTCATTGTTCGGCTTCATACTGTGTTACGTTACTGACGTTTCTACAAATCAGGATTAAAATCATTCACTGGGTTAATACAAACTGTCTCTAATCCAACTAAGCACAAGGGATACCGCACCTTTGGCGAGCTTTCTCATTTTAATTCTGTTTCAGCTACAGCCTTTTTAACCGAGACACTTCCAGCCCCAGTACTTTGCCTCCAGCAGCTCACTATTTCTGACCACAAGCGAGAAGAAATCCTGCCCTCTCAAGCTGTCGGAAATAAGGCTCGCTAGAAAATATCGACGCGAGAATGGCACAACAGGTCAAGCAACCTGTTCATCCCACACTGTCACGACTGAATTTTCATGTGCTCCAGGTTAAAAAGTTAGCGGGTCCTGCTAAATTAAAAGATGCATGTGTTTGCTGTGAGAACTAGGAATGTGTAAGCGAGCAGTGGTGGCTCCAGGCTGGCCAAGAATCTTCATTTGTACTCCAACCTCAAGAGGCAGAACTCCCTCCCAGAGAGATCATCACGTATCAAGGAGAACGCCACAAAAATCTTTCTTTACTGCTGGTGAACCAGAAAGCAGAACATCCATAAGAAAACTGTATTTGTCCCACAACTCCTTTTTACCAATTATCACAAAGGCAATCTATAAATTAAAAGTCTACGCTCTCCAAAAACTAAGCAGGTATTCCATAAGAGAAACACAGATCAGAGGAAAACCTAATTAATTTTCACAGCGTACCATGACTAATCTTGGCATATATGGTACTGGAATAGCAACCACTGAGTACAAACGAAAACAGCGTTGAACCCTGCCCTATTTTTAATCAGATGAAAGCCACAAACCTTGCCATGCTTCTGCTTAGTGTTGCATTTTCTTCTACGCTGATAGCTTTTACAGCTGGAGAAATAGCTACTTACAGCACTATTCTGCTGTAAAAAATTACTGCTACTTATGGCCACCGGGATTATAGCTGCACATGTCACCGAAAAGGTGGGGTGGAGGCACACTAAAAAAATGTTTCCTTGGGACATTTAACCCTTTCCAAACTGTATCAGTTCCTCTGAGTAAAGACATGCTTTGAAATTCCTAATCACCATTTGTGTGGTATGAAACTATACTGGCAAGGTTATGCAGTGAGCCAGAGGCAGAGAAGGAAACAGAACTCTGAAGACCAATTCCAAATAATTTTTTTTTGAAAAACTAAACACTGTATGGTCCATGGCAATATTTTTAATGACAACTGAAGGCAATGTACTAGTGCTGTGATGTTGTATTTCCCCCGCACTAGTTCTGCCATACAGAACTATTTTTATTAATACCACAAAGGGTTCCCAAAACCTGTTCTACACAAATAGCAGCTCATGGTTCAAAGACTTTCCCCACTTACCAGTGCTTTTTGTGGCCATTAAACAACAATGCTGTTGGTCCCATTTTAACCTAGACATTTTAAGATTTGTAATCGTAGCTCAGAGCGTGGAAATGAAATGCACACTTACTAACTCAAATTTGTTATGCCCGGTTTTTGGCTGGGTCAACATGCAATAGAACATTACAAAAATAAGACTTAATTTGTAAAAACATTCAGGGTGGATGTATGTGCTGAGAAAGGGGCAAGCTCCTTCTCCCATCCTCCACTCCTCTTCCCTCAGCTTCTCACACATTCTTGGGAACCAAGAGAAAGGTGGGAGCGGAAGCCTAACTGCTGGTTTAAATGCCTTTTCTCCCCAGTACCTAAACACTCGCCACCATACGCTTCATCTAAGAAATAACCCTCTACTATGAGAGGTGGAGTATCAGAGATATTCACGCTGAGAATATAATATTTCCTGAGAGCTAAGCTGGAATTTCAACTCTTAAGGAACTTTCTTGCGTATTTTCCACCGGAAGAATAAGGATACTTGTCCCTCGCTGCCCGTTTTTCACTGAAACACTAACACTTCCTACAAAAACCTTTCTGTGACCTCCTTTGCTCAACTCAACTCCAAAGAAGCAAAATTCCAGTCTCTGATCACAATTAAAATAATAGTAATTGCCAGAAAGAGGTACCAGTTCTTTCCCCGCTAGGAAGTACGCGCGTGGAAAAAGGACCCACCTTTGGAGTGTTTCCCCGAAGGCCTCTTGGGTAATGACTCCTCGATGGAATGTGTCGATGTATGTAGGACATTTTCCAAACTGTTACTGACACTGTTGATGGGGGTCTCGGATCTTGGAGCGACCTGGAAAAAAAAACCCAAAAAACACAAACAAATTCCAATCAATAAATGCACAAACATCACACCTCCCTCCAGAGTGAGCAGAACTCCTCGGAGGGCAGGCAGGAGGTGTTTGCTTCTTTTAAAATCAAGGGGTGTTACTACTGATACTCCACAAGTAACAGTTCAGAGAAGCGGGTTTAAGTCAGCAGCCATTCATAAATCTAGATTATCTTGGCTAATCTATAAAGCTACTTAAAGTATAATTCTTTTTTAAACAATCGTCACACAGCAGTCAGTTGCAGAGATATTGCAAGACCCTTAACCTCTCCACACTGCAGTTCCTAACTTTTCATCAGGAAAACTAGGGGAAAAGGACTGCTGGAAAACCAGAATTTTTATGTCACCTATCTACACAGACTCAAGGCATTTCAAAGCAGTTGCACACAGATTAAAAGGAATTAATTCCAATTTAGACAAAAAATTATAAAATTCATGTCCTCGCCATTTAAAAGCCTGCTATCATGATGACATTTCACAAGAAAAATCGCACACGAGAAAAGACCAAGCAGAAGGCTGCATCATCAAAACAGGCTTCACGGCCCAGTATGTACCTGCTAAACTGGATTTAGCATAAGAAAACGTATTTTCACCACTACTTAGAACTACAGAAACAAAGCTAAGTCATTAGAAAAGGCAGAAGTGAACAATTCCTGCTTCCAACCGCTGTCCGCAAGAGCGGTCGCAATTACGTAGTAACACTATTTGTAGTGTAACCTTCAACGTCTGCCTCATAAGCAAGGCAATTCAATTAGTCTCTTGTTTTCTAGGTAATGAGACACAGAAGTGGACGAACAGTTACATGAGCAGTCCCAAACACAAGGGTTTAAGTATCTTAAAGAGGAAAGCGGAGTTAAGGTAGTTAAGACTAACAAAAGCGCTCACACTAACTCCTTCAACTTCTATCGCCACATTTTGAATCCATGTGCAACCCAGGTACGGAGAGCTACAATTAGAATCTCATGCGGATTTTAGTCTTTCACAAATGACAAGAAAAAAGGTGCATCTCCATGTAACAAAAGAAGTTATCCTTTATATTCGTGGTAACTAATACCAGCGACTATAGATCCCTGTAAGGAAAACGGCCCATTTAGACCCTGATTACTTGAGACAGTGCCACGAGTCAGGACAATTTAGGCTTAGAACAATCCTTTGCTCACCCTACCATAGGCCTTACCTCTTGACATCAATCGGGATACACAATGCAAGTCAAAAATAGCACATCCCTACTCTGTACAATTACCTATTGTAAGCTCTGTTTTCAGACTGACTTTTATAGACTTATACACAGTTTAAGGCAGTAGCACAAATCAAAGACTTCGTATACTTGACATCCATAAAAAAACCAACCTCAAACAACTTACATGTGCAAAGGGATCAATCGAGAGAGACAAGTGTCAAGAGAAAGCGAGATTACAAGTATCTGCTTTCCTGTTCAGCACTGTCAGTCTACTTTTTGATCAAAAAAATTAGAGTTTACTTGGATGCTTCCTCAGCGCGGCTTTCCACCAGCCACCAAAGCTTAATGGCAAGGTTTGACAGGAGGCCGTTCAAGTTGAAGCTTAGGGGGAGGAACAGTTTAAATCTCCTTCCCAAAGCCAGTCTTTACCACAGCTTCTCTCACACGTCTCTCTCCCGGAGCTCATTAAACTCTGCCTCCGGTGGATCGCAAGTTGAAGCTTAGGGGGAGGAACAGTTTAAGTCTCCTTCCCAAAGCCAGTCTTTACCAGGGCTTCTCTCACACTGTCTCTCCTGGAGCTCAAACTCTGCCTCCGGTGGATCACTGCCGAGGGGAAGTTCCAGCGGCCTGAGCGATGACACCCCGTCCTGCCAGCAACGGGAGGCTTCCGAAGAGCAACTGAGCAAACAGAAAATGCCAGACAGGCAAGACTGTGTTGTCCTAAAGAACCAGGTTCCAAACCTTCACAACAATTAGCACATACAAACACTTACTCAAAACTGAGTAAGAACGTAGCCACGTGGTTTCAGAAAAACCTCTGAACAAGCAGTTTGTTAGAATATATTGCCTCGAACCTTGTATTCCCTCCTCTCCCAATAAGCATCGCGTGCAGTTTCAAATTTGCATTTTTGTTTATACATAACGTTCATTTTTTTTCCACAAAGATTTAATTTTTATATACTCGGTGAAGATTAATTTAGCCCATATGTCTTGACTGACTGAGCTCATATACTATCTGATTCAGTCGCACATCAAAGCGAAGCAGTTTCAAATTGGCCTAGAAAAATCACAAAGCTCTGATTAGTTCCAAATGGAGCACTCTGTTACTGAGCTGACTGATGTTACAGCCAGTGAATCTGACTGCTTAAAGCTTTCATTCCAAATTTTAAATAATTTTTTCCACTGACTTAAACATACCAGTAACTGCAAAGGTTTGGATTTGTTTGGGAAAAGTAAAATAAAAATTTACGCAAATTAAAGTCGTATTTCCAAAATAGTACCGGCCTTTCTTTTTACCTTTTTTTTTTTTTTGTGGTTGCAATTTGTGGCCAAGCGAAACAGAGGAACAATAACCCATCAGCTACGGACTGCAGAAGATACTGCCCTGGGATGGCTGGGAGAAACACTGGCAAAAACTTAACATTAGATGCCCAGGAAAGACTTGTCCAAATTCAACCAGAGAAACTCAGCATCAGGTAAATTCTGGAAGGAGTTTTCACGGTAGCTGAAACTACCATAACCCCTAGTTTGAGCTCAGCACAAAACAATTACTAGCAAGCAGCCACTAGATTCTGAATAAAGAACAAGGAATTCCAGTGAGATAAAGATTCGGAGAAGCAGCGGGCAAATTACTTTGGACTTTTTAGGATCTGCAACTTCTCTGACGAAAGCCAAGAAGATGCCATTAAAGAATAAGCATTAAAGAATAAGCTGTTCGGGAACTGTTAAAGGCTTGTTCTCTAAAGCAGTAACAGTCCACAGTAAAGGTGGATAAGCTGGCATCACAAAACCCCAAAACGTTCAGTCTATCTTAACAAACTACAGGAGTGATGTTTTATAAACGCAGAAAAAAATACCATGAATCATTCAAGGTCCAGTAGAGTACAGCATCAGACGTCTGAATGGAAGACTTTGGATTTTTTTCAGCTGAAATTATTTGAGAACAGCAGCAGAAACAGTTCACGAGGACTAACCAAATACAGCAACAACCCCAGAGTTAAAGCAATAGAAATGTTCTTCGCTGTGTCGAACCTTACCCTTGGCACCGCATTTTCTGGAGGGCCAGGGAGAAGGAAAGCCCTCTGCTGCACCTAGCTGTAGCCTCAGTAGATTATTCATAAACTGGTTTTTACACCAGAGTGGCCTGCAGGCTGATTCAATGACTATAGAAGATGCATTGCTCAAATGGGTGCAGAAGAGATTCTGTAACTATTTTTACTCAACTCTCATGTTGCATCTACTCCCTCCACAGCAAAGCATCTGGCTCACAGATGAACTGGCTTTCCACATTAAAACCTAGCTTGTTCCTTGAATTTCAAGTTAAAGTAGTATCCATAACCGAAAATAACAAACAAAATTCATCGGTACCTAATGACTAACGGAGGCTCAGCCTGAAATCTTTTTTGTTACGAGGGAGAATGAGGCACAGACAGCACCAAACCTGGCATCAGCTACTGAAAAAGCACGTGCTTCCAACAAGGGCTCGACAGACGACTCACAGAACGCCACACTGAAAGCCTCCACCCCAAAACTCTTGATCCATCAAAAAGCACAAAATAAATGAGAAAAATAGAAAAAAAAAAAAAAACCAACACGGAACAAAATTTACCGGTAGTGGTTAGTTCAACAGGTAGAGCTTCTCTTTCAGTCACTGCTACCTGAAGCGGCTCTGCCGCTACTCGAGACATTGGAAGTCAAAATGGAAAGTGGTAAATCTGTGACGCCAGTTAGTGACCATTAACTTCGTCGTATGAAATTCCAGGCATTGTCCCTGGGGATCAAAGTCTTTCATAAAAATAACAGGACTGACAGAAGTCAAACTTCACGTGGTAAGAATTTTACCAAAATAGCAATTCTATGTTCCTTTTCAAAACAACCAAACGGAACACAGAAAATACATGGTTTAATAGCAAAGTATTTGCTGACTTAGTTTGAAGCGGAGCCAACAGTAAAAATCAACATAGCTTACTACCTAAAGAGTAACACTTCTTGTAATTCAAACAAAATATAAAAGCAATGAGTCAGTTAAGTGAGATAACAGGGCTGCAGCTAAAAGCCTCGTGAACACATTCTGCCACTGATCATGCAGGAAAACTTTTTTTTTCACAGGACGTTCAATTTTCAAAAGTGGCAAATGATAATACTGGGTAAGTCCCACAGATAAATGCTTCTGTTAATACTTGCTTTGGAAGTCTCCTTCAAAAAAGGTTTTTCATAATCAAAGTGACCTCTCTGCTTGAGGCTGATGCAGAGAGCATACAAGAGTGCTCAGGAGTCAAGAGTACTGAAGCCTGAGGGGAGTAAAACCAGTCAACTCCATTCACTCCTGACAGTTTCATATTAGTGAGCATTAACATGAGCTTATTTTGAGGTTAACACCAAAGTCTTTTACACAGCGCAGTCCTGTGGGCAAAAATGCTCCAGCAGAAGCCTGATGGCAAGAATACAGCCCCTGCATGCTCAGGCAGATAAGCTGCTAGTTCCCAACACAATGGCACAACTCAGGTTCTCAACCAATTTGAAAAAAAAAAATTAAAAATGCATTGCTAACACCGTGATGTCAGTCTACCAATGCAGAAGATTGTTCAGGAGGATAAGGCCGAGCCAGAAATAAGAGCAACCAATGAAAAAGTCTGAAACTCAGAATCTCCCGAGACTGCAAAACCAGGAGGAGCAAGACTGAGCAAATATCTTCCTGTTGGTAGCAACGAGCCATCAGTCTGCCCAGCTGCTTGTGAAACCACAGCCTCAGGCACCAGTTCTGCATTTCCTTACACAGGTGAAC